ATACTTTGCCAGGTAGTCGGTCTTGCTGGTAGGCTGACAACAGCATTTAAAACGGCAATATTGTAGTTTCCATGCTTATGGAACTTCTGCAACCATGATTGTTTTACTTAATGTCTCGATAACATAGGGCCATCAGATGTTTAATGTGCTATGATCCAATTGAATGTTTGTGTATTGTGATATATCACTACTATGTTGAAAATCAACGACCTTCCTATTGAAAGACCAGTGAATCATCTTAAATGCAATAGTTTTCAAAAAGTAGGTGATTATGGACTTGAAGCCACATCTCTTGGCTGAATGACGTACAATACATTGTTTTTACCCAGGATTTAAAAAAATAAAGGGAATGACCAAAAGGTTTTAATGTGCTAAATTACACACAAGCTACCAGTTTATTATAGTCAGCCCCCATACTGAGGACCCTCATACTGGGATAGAAAACTCACTCAGTGACATCTTTTTTTCGTAGTCGAATACAATAGCAGAATACAGCCTTCTTTGGGATTACTTGGACTAATAATGTGTATTACACTTCGACCTGAATGGCACCCCTGGCAATATATCTATCTAACAACTAACCAGACAAGAAATTATCATTGAAGCAAATAATCACAAGCGCATTCTCAATTCCATCTTTTGCAATACAATGCCATCATTTGACCTTTAATGTTATCGCTCACTACAGATTGCCATTTTTTCAGACTGTAATCATGTCTCATGTGGAAAAGTATTCCTTCTGTTTGCAATGTCATGTTATTGCAATGGTAAGATTAAATTGTATTTCTTATTCTATTTGAACTTTTTAATGGCATTATCATACTGGTGGAGTGACTGACTGCAGCTGGTTATCTGCATTTTGTGGGAGGCAGGCATAGACACTAATTTGTACAGAAGAGCACTGCTCACTCCAAATGATTATAGCATACACACAAACGTGTCAACTCAATAATGTCACGAAGGTTTTTTTTAAATATTTTGGCACAATTAATGAAGGAATGTCGCCTTTATTCTCAAATCGGAGTTGCCGGTCTATAATAATCAATGAATGAATGAACTTAGTTAATCGCTGACTCACCACTTCTACCAAAACACTGCATGAACAATATAAGCCTCTATTCAAACTTTAGCACGAATGTATATATATATATATATACATTCTGTGAAAGAATAAAAAAAGCCATCTGTCGTATTTTCAAACTACACGGTCTGAAAGTCACAATCGAAGCTAATAAAAATATTGTCAACTTCCTGGACGTCACATTCAACCTCACTGACAGCTCTTACAATCCATATATTAAACCCAACAGCCACCCACTATACGTACATAGAGAGAGCAACCACCCACCCTCCATCAAAAAGAATATACCGGCAGGAATCAACAAACGATTGTCATATCTTTCATCAGACGAAAAACACTTTGATCTAGCCGCGCCACCTTACCAGACAGCTCTAAATCAAAGTGGATATGATTATCACCTCAAATTCGAACCCCCACGGAAAGAAGAAGACAAACAGACCTCGTAACAACATCCTCTGG